AGGAATAATAGGAATAATAAGAGTTGTGATAACAGCAATAGAGAAACAGTGGCGTAGATAGGAAATTTTATAGGGGGGGGGGGCGAGAAATGCAGATTTTCCTACCAAAAATTTGTATTTTTTTTCCGTTTCTTCACGATTATTTTCCGACAAGATTATCAATTTTCCGACAAAATGGCAGTTTAGCTCTAGAAGGGGGTTTTCCGCCCCCCCTGCACCCCCTCTATCTACGCCACTGTAGAGAAGGTATCAACTTCAGTTTGTGATAATAGCAAATGTGCTCATAACAGCAGCTTGAATCCAATCTAACCTGAAGACGAATCCGACGAAATCGTCGTCTGTTGCTTCGACAATGAACGTGCCCTGGAAGTCGACGCCGCCAAACCTAATGCTACCTTTTTACGTGGGAAAATGATAGCTTAATGGCCAGTACACGCGAACTTGTGAGTTTATGGCTGATGTTAATTTAGGTAATGATAACAGTGATAATAAACGAAGTTATGGATAATGTTGATCATGATAATAATAATAAAAAATAATAATGCTAACAGTAACAATATCAGTGAAGATGATATTAGTATTGATAATAATCATGATAATAATAACAGTACCAATAAAGGGGATAATAAAACAAATATAATTTAACCAAATCCTACCTATAATAAAATCTCAAGTTTTTAACTGAAATAACAATTGATACATGATTCTGCGTGACTTGAATCGTAACTACGTACCTATAGCAAAAGTGGTTTCAGCTGTGAACCGCAAAAAGAAACCGGTTCTCGACGGCAGAAAGTGATATTTAGGGGTTTCTACTTGAGTCGAGAGGAGGACGACAGTCACGTTCCTGTTGTTAAGAAGACTTGTGGTAATATGCCATTTAAATTTTGTGATTTTGCAAGAATATTTAATTTTTCTTTAGAGTGATATAGATGGATAGATATTTATATATACTAAACTATATGCAAAAATATATGCTGCACACGCAATCCGTACACAAACTCCGTGGTGAAAATCTCGTTGTTTTCGGGGCAGTTATCGAGGGCGTCTTGGATGCCGTCCTGGTCGTAGTCGTTTTCGCAGATGTCTCCGACGCCGTCCCCGTCCGAGTCAAGCTGGGCCGGGTCGTGGACGAGAGGACACTTGTCGACGCCATTGAGGACGCCGTCTCCATCGGCGTCGTCATCACACGCGTCGCCAGCTGCGTCTCCGTCGTAGTTAAGTTGGTCAGGATTGGCAACGTTCGGGCAGTTGTCTAAATCATCCTGAACACCATCGCTGCCGGAGAAGTTAAGAGAGCCACAGGCATAGAGGGAATTCTGTCGCTAGTTCTTTAACATGCTTTAATATATAACTATATACCTACACTACATGCAAGCAATGGATACGTTTCTATAGATAATCCCAAATTTATATGTATGCATTCAATATGTATTCATAGAAAACACATCGCGCCCGGGGTAGAAGGAAATCACTACTCCACAGAAATTAAAAACCGCTGGCAAAAGCCCCTCTGCACTCCATAAGGTGTAATCCACGCATTAACCATGAAACTAGAAACTCTCGTAATAATAAGACAGAATCTACTCAATTTTAGCTTTAGAATAAGGCTAAATTAACTCTGGCAAGGTCGAATTACCACACGTGTACGAATAGTCAAGAGGCAAAGGCAGCGTCACAACTGCATTCACAAAAATCTCCCTTTCACTCAAGTTACGATTCATCTTACTTTAGAAAACCTTGTGTCGTGTAAAGCTAAATGCAATAATTTGTATTTGACTGTATATTCAGTTTATTGTATACACGTTAATATTATAATCAATAAAGACTATTGTGAACATAAGGATATTCTACCACATAATTAATACAAGGTGCTAGAAGTATCTAATGTAATTTAAAATAACAATGGCCACATCATACACATAATTGAAATTAGGGGGGAACCTCACATCCACAATTTCCTCCCGTCCACCAGCGCTGAAAACTTACCTAAGTAAGGTCATAGAACGCAGTAAGCAACTTTTTATACACTAGAAATGCTATAGTTGACTAGTAGCACGGCTTCCGAAACAGACGCCTTTTAGGTTTTTCGATATACATATATCCATATTTGTGCATTGCATGTGTATATACTTTTTCAACCTACCAATGAGATCAAAACTGGCGTGTGAGCTCCCACCATAGGCATAAGAGGAGAATAACGTGTTTGATAGTAAGACCAAAAGCACCTTTCAATGACACAGAATACCGTGTTTGATAGTATGACAAGAAGCACTTTTCAATGACACAGAGACTCACCTGTCAGTGTCAATATCGGTATCACATTCATCCCCAACAAAGTCTTCATCGGCGTCATTTTGAAGCGGGTTAAATATTTGAAGGCAGTTGTCACAAACGTTGCCAACGCCGTCTCCGTCGGAGTCCATTTGATCAGGGTTACTAACGCTGATGCAGTTGTCATTGGTATTGAGAATTCCTGCAAGTTTATTAAAAAATTAAGGCTTTTCCTTTTCCCTTTTTCTCATTTTATTTTTGCTTTTCTGTCACGTTCTAATAATACCTGGGTTTTTAAAATAGTGTAGATTTTATTTCAGATATTAAAAAAGCATATTTAGATCTGTTATTAACGCAACCCAAAGGAAATAAGCGTTTAATGTTTATTTAATTTCCCAAAGATATTTTTTACACCATTCGAATAAGCCGTAAGCTTAGACGCACATACGTTAATATATGTATATATATATATATATATATATATATATATATATATATATATATATATATATATATATATATATATATATATATATATATATGTATATATGTATATATATATATATATGTATATATGTATATATATATATATATATATATATATATATATATATATATATATATATATATAAATATAAATATAAATATAAATATAAATATATATATATGCATATATATATATATATATATATATATATATATATATATATATATATATATATATATATATATATATATATATGTATATATGTATATATGTATATATATATATATATATATATATATATATATATATATATATATATATATATATATGTATATATGTATATATGTATATATGTATATATATATATATATATATATATATATATATATATATATATATATATATATATATATATATATATATGCATATATATATATTTATATCTATATTTATATTTATATATATATATATATATATATATATATATATATATATATACATATATACATATATATATATATATATATATATATATATATATATATATTATATATATATATATATATATAGATATATATATATATATAAAGCTTGCTAAACGTACCATCACCATCCGCATCGTCATCACACTCGTCACCCAGGCCATCGCCGTCTATGTCACGCTGGGTCGGGTTTTGGACGTTGTAGCAGTTGTCACAGGCATCTCCGTGGTCATCGGCATCGAAGTCTGCCTGGTTGAAGTTCATGACCAAAGGGCAGTTGTCCTGTGTAGAGAGTTTAGGATGAATATGAGTCTGTTTTTAGGATGAATATGTTTCTTTAGGATTAATATTAGTTTTTTTGGGATGAATTTTAGTTTTTTTTTCAAGGATGAATATGATTTTTTTTTTTTAAAGATGAATATGGATCTTTTTTTAGGATGATTGAGTTTTGTTTAGGATGAATATGAGTGTTTTGTTTGTTGGTTGGGTAGTAGTTTTGATCTTTTTGGGCATTGTAGTGTTGATGGTGTGGTGTGTATATTTGTACAACACAGTAGATTCTTCTTTACCTTTTGATTTGTCAAATTTGTTATATTATTCCTATATCTAAGTGGCCGTAAGGAATATGTCCATAGAGAAACATGCATTCTGGGCCACGAGTCGTTACAGTATGGTGGTAAGTTCCTTACTGCTTCGACTTCTACCCCAACCTGCTGATGCCAGTACTCAACCACAGCTGCGTCAGTTTAGTGAGTCCGACCTATAACTCACGAATCTCGTGTTCCTCCCATCTCCGTCTTTGTCGAGATCGCAGGCGTCGCCCACGTAGTCACCGTCGGCGTCGAGCTGGTCCGGGTTGTAGACGTAGACGCAGTTGTCTTGAGCGCAGCGTTGATCGAGGCAGTCCAGAGACACGTCAGGGTATCCGTCTTCGTCACTGTCGAGGCCGCAGATGGTGCCATTCCCGGCTTGACCTTCTGGGCACTGTCAGAGGGGGAAGTAAAGGAGGATTAATGAAGTTGCAATAATGTTTTCCTATAGTACTTATGACATTCAGGAAGTTCACATTTCATTAGACGTGTGATATCGATTTGACTGATGTTTGCCAACAAGGGAATTTTACACTGCAGGTAAGACATTTTTATGTTTTCAAATGTTTACGTTTAATGTTTAAGCTGGGTAAAGCTTGGAGAGAAGAGGCTGGGCATACCGGGGACTCAACCAACCACACTGGGTATTTGGTGCAAGTGTAGAAGCTCCCGGTGAAGGTTTGGTTGCAGAAACTTCCCTCAGGGCACACCGTGTGCTGACAAGGGTCTGTGGGTATGTAGATTTTCATATTCAGATGCGCATGTTACTATACAGTACTTACCATAAGTATTGTATACTAATGAATGTCAAAACGAATATATAAGTTTGTTGACATGCAATAAAATTCTCTTACACATGTAGAATGTGTGTGTGTAAAAAGATGCACACATGCCTATACAGAACAAAAAGACATATGTATATACATACACATGTAAGTCTGAAAAATCAGATGTACGATAAAAAATGAATGAGATTTCTGAATCCCTTTTATCAAGGACTTACTGATACAGCTTGTTCCGTCCCCGGTGTATCCTGGTTTGCAAGTGCACGTGTGGGAGGAGCCGACGATGTTGCAGTCAGCGTAGTAATGGCAATCCCAGCACAAAGGGTACATGGGGTCGTCCTCTACCTCGGAGACCGCTTGTAACGACGTAGACAGGGCGTCGTACATCTTTTGAGGGATCTTTTCTGTTGAGTTTGAATTATGCGTTGATGATGAAACTCACGGTTGGGGTTATGTACTTATCTTTATTCGTTTTATTCGTATTAATTCGTTCTCTTGTAATATACCGTTGACTTTTTTCAATGCAAAGGTAAAAATACAAATTTTAAGTTGCATTATCTTGTTCTATTTAAGGAGCGAACTCTGAAATGTTACCAAAATATATTTGTTCAGTCAATGTACTTACTGTGTCCCTTATGCTGTGATAACATAAACTTTTTCTTATACATTCGTTTCCCACGTCTTTGCATTGTATCCTATATCTTTTAACTCAGTGAAGGTGCATATCTCTGTCTCCCCTCTGCATAATTTATCCATGATATAAAACAACCACAATAATAGAGGAAACACTTACGTTTACTGTTACGTGTTTCACATTTCGTTGCGCACACATAACTATATCTATATCTATGCTCATATTCATCGAATTTTACACCGACTATCTTACACCCTACATCAATTATATTCATATCTGAATCTTACATCAATCAACATCAACAAACCATTACACTTGTACTCTAGATTCGCCCAAAAGATTCCTCCCTGCGCGAAGCAAAATGGTCCGAACCTTCCGCCAGTCAAACGGCTGTCATAAATGTTCCCAGAATCGACTAACAAAGTCTTTCCGCAACTGACATACACTCGAATGACACCGATCAGCGGCCTGTGGACGACTCTGAAGCGATATGACACCTTCTTGGACCAAGGGAAGCTACTTCTCCACAACACTATGGTCTGGAAAGGAAGTTTGAGACGGTATCGACTCATCAGTTAGTCATGGATTTTATTCGTGATTTTACCTTTCGGTCTTATTGTCTTTTTTACTTTCTTTATCACTGATAATACTATTTATCCTTAGTATCAGTGTTCATGTATAGCCAATGTTGATGATATTATACTCTTGTATTTATATTTTTTTGTTAATGAAATTCATCATCATCAATTATTGTCACTATTAAATTCATTAGTATTTATGATATTATCAGCAACATTGTTATCATGTTAATCTTATTAAATTACAATGCTCTACATGTTAATAAAAGTATTAGACTTAGTAACGAAAGCAGAAAGAAAATGATTTGAAACTTCTATTTATATGATGAGGGAAACTAAAAAATATACAGATAAATAACATTAATAAACAAATATTGAAAAAAAAAACAGTTTATCACTTCTGTTAATGTCACGAGAAGGGAAATAAATAAACACACAAAAACAGATAACCGTATATTGTTATAAAAAAATAGTGTATCACGAGAAATTAATTAATCGGAAACTATCTAAAACCAATAATAATAATATAAGATAAATATATAAAAAAGAATCTGTCACCTCTATTAATGTTACGAGAAAAGAAAAAAAGGGAAAAAAACACACACAAACAACATGAATAACGAAAAATCATTATAGCAACATAAATAAACAAAAAAAAGGACAGTTTTCACCTCCCCCTTCCCACGCCCTCCCCCTCCCCCCACCACTCACTTCCCCACTAGAGTCGTCAGACCACAAATCTGTCCTCAGGGTACTTCCGGGGCCTTGAACGCTGTCCACCCACTTCAGGAAGATCCCTCTTTTTGAAGTGGCGGAATACTTGGTTTCCGTGTCCTGCCTCCACATTATCACGTAGAAGGAGGAGTGGTCGCGGAAACTGTAAGAGGAAAGAAAGAAAAAAAATAATAATGGCGATGATGGATTTCTTTGTTTATCTCAATTTTTTTTTAGGTTATTTTCGCTGTTGTTGAATGCTAGTTCTCGCTAATCATCTGCAAATAATGATCTCACTAAGTTCAGCTTACTCTCGCTATATTCAACAAATTGTTGTTATCATCAACTGTTCCTGTTACAGCAGTTCTTACTATATGTAAATAATATTTACTGCCGTCATGTAATTATTAGTATCCTTACCATCATCTTCGAGTAATATTATCTTCAATTAATTCTCAATATCGTCAACTAATTTCCACCATCTCCAATTAATTATTTCCATCTTGAACTAATTCTCACCATCTACTATTAATTATCACAATCTTCAAGTAATATTTTCTATATCTAGCTAAAAGTGAAGAAAATATAAAGGCCTACAAACCTAAAAGTTAATCCGATAAAATCGTCACCGACATCAATATCCGGAAATATTGTTACCTCCAGATCGACGCTGCTAACACTGACGTTTCCTGAAAAGAGGAAGAACGTAAAAGAGAGAGGAACGTATCTTCAAATTCAAAATGCATCGGGAGAAAAATGCTTCGTGACAAGACAGATGCAGACAAGGAGCGAAGGTGTTTGATAATAAATATGACAGCGTGACTGTGAATGAAAGATGCATTGATACCAAGAGCCATCGTCGGGTCGGAGACCTTGCTCTCATAGCTTTGCAAACCGTCCTTGGAGAATGTCCAGTCTGGAGTGTAGAAATAATACAGCTGAACTACTTGTAATGTCCTGAGAGAAAGAATACAGTGTCAAGCCGGTACTGTGCCTTCGAAGGTGTGAGAATGTTAGACTCAGAATGCTACATATGCCAGTAGTTCTAGTGATAAGAAAGATAAGCGGAAATATGCATTGTTTAAGAGGGAATGCGGTGTTACAACCAAAGTGATTCTGACCCACCCTAAGCTCTCATGCCAAAGAGCGCTAGTCTTCGGACACGTGTCTGTAGTGTCCACCAGTCCGTCCCCGTCATAATCCTGCGAACACGCGTCCCCCACGCCGTCTTCGTTGACGTCCCCCTGATAGGCGTTGGCGACGAGCGGGCAGTTGTCGTTAACGTTGAGGATTCCGTCGTTGTCGGCGTCGTCATCGCACACGTCGCCGACTCCGTCGGCGTCAACGTCGCCCTGGTCGCTGTTGGGGTTGGCGGGGCAGTTGTCCATCGTGTCTAAGATGGAGTCTCTGTGGGGAAATGTTATTGTGTAGGCCATTGTGTGAATCTAACAGTTATGAAGGATGAATTTTATAAACTCTTGTACGAAACAACAAACACATATGTCTTCCCCAAATCCATGTCGTAATTAATGCTTCACGTTCTTTTTTTTGTTTGCCTCTACATTTCATGCCACGAAATCGCATATCCACTGAAAAGAGAACTCTTAATAATCTACTCACGCATCTGAGTCAACGCCATCATCGCAGGCGTCTCCGAAAAGGTTTGCGTTGCTGTCGACCTGGTCACTGTTGGCATCTTGGGGGCAGTTGTCGCACACGTCGCCCACGCCATCGCCGTCGAGGTCCAGTTGGTCGCTGTTGGCCACAGCGACGCAGTTGTCGACGTCGTTCGTCACGCCTGGATTACGGTCACGTTTCTTTTACTTGTATTTTTTCCTCTATGTATCATATTTTCATCTCTATCCTTCTCTTATTTTAGCGATGTCAAACAGACAGGTTATCACTAGCATTACCATCGCTATCCGCGTCGGCATCACAGATGTCGCCGATCCCGTCATCATCAGCATCGGACTGGGCCTGGTTAGCGTCGTTGGGGCAGTTGTCACAGTCGTCGCCGAAGCCGTCGGCGTCGATGTCACTTTGGCTGGGATTGTACACTAGCGGGCAATTTTCCTGTAGAAGGCAAAGTGCCACAATATAGTTACAACACATATTTGATATACAATATGTAGTGCGGCATCATCTTTCCGAAGTAAGAGATTTTTCAGATTATGAAATGTGTTGCATGACAGAAAAAGACCTCACCGCACTATCGGCCAGTCCGTCATCGTCTGCGTCATCGTCGCAAACGTCACCCAAGCCGTCGCCGTCGGCGTTTCCTTGGTCCGCGTTAGGTACCAAAGGGCAGTTGTCCCGACGACAATGAGGATCGACGCAAGGCAGGTCTATGTTCGGGAAGCCGTCCAGGTCGCTGTCGGGGCCGCAGGTCACACCATCACCTGCAAAGCCTCTCGGACACTGCGGCAGAAAGAAATTACTACTCAATACTTTGTAATCCGCGAGGAATTGTTTTACGTCGACAGTTATACACCTTGATAATGAACGCATTTTAGAAGAAAAAAAAATCTTACGAAAGCACAATCCCCAGTGATTAACTTACCTCTAATTTTATGCAATAGCTACCATTCCCACTGTACCCGAAAGGGCAAGGACCACAAATGAACAAAGTCTCGTTGAAGGTAACATTGCATTCAATTCCAGGGAAGCAAGTGTTCAGCTCACAGGGATCTGGAAAGAAAGAGGCACATATGATTCCTGTTACCATACAGATTACTTTGCCTAGACTGCGTGTGAGTCTATCTAACAATATATAAATAAATATATAAATATATAAATAAATATATATATTTATATATACATATATATGTATATATATATATATATATATATATATATATATATATATATATAATATATATATATATCAATATATATATATATATATATATATAATATATTATATATATATATATATATATATATATACATATGTATGTATATATACTTATTTATATGTATATAAATAAATAAATAAATAAATATATATATATAGATAGATATATGCGCATCTAGATCTATTCGAGTGTGTGTGTGTGTGTGTGTGTTTGTATGTGTGTGTGTGAAATAAATGCTTTTTACCAAACAAGCACCTTTGCAGTCGAAGCCGTTACCAAAATAGTATTCATTACACGTGCAGCTGTAGTTGCTACCATGAATAGGATCACAGCTGGCTTCGACATGGCAGTCACTCTCGTTCCTAAGGCATTTGTTTTTTTCTGTTTAAGGAGAAATCAACGGGTTAATGAATTTGTCGCTGCAATGTGCTCTATATAAATTCATGCATTCAGTTTGTCAATTAGTTATTTACTGAAATATGAAACTTGGTAAATTGACAAATAAACATTTTCTTTTACAAATTAGCATCTACATTCAGTCTTCACTGATGATAATAATCATAATGATAATGACTGTAATGATGATATAACAATACTACCTACCAATGATAATAGTAGTAGTAACGATAATGCCACTACTGCCGCTAATATTACTGACGCTGATAATAATGATAATAAAAACAATCATGATAATGATGAGGATAATGATAATAATAATGATAAGAAGAAGAAGAAGAACTGACGTCGTCGCTTACGATAATAAGCCCGCCAACGTCACCGCTTACGATGTTGTGCCCGCCGACATCTCCGCTTATGATGGAGTACCCGTCGGCGTCGACGCCTATGATGGTGTGTCCGCCGACGTCAGCGCTTACGATGGTATGCCCGCCGACGTTGTTACTTATGATGGTGATCCTGCCGACGTCACCGCTTACGTGGTGAGCCCAACGTCGCCGCTTGTGATGATGTGTCCGCCGACGGTGCTACTTGCGATGGTGTGCCGCCGACATCACCGTTTGCGATGGTGTGTCTGCCAACATTGCCACTTACTGTGGTATGCCCGCCGACGTCGCCGCTTGCAAATGGTATATACACCGACGTCGCCATTTGCGATAGTATGCCCGCCGACGTCAGCGCTTACGATGAAGTGTCCGCAGACGTCGCTGCTCACGATGGTGTGCACGCCGACGTCGCCGTTTGCGATGGCATGTCCGCCGACGTTACCGTTTGCGATGGTGTACCCACCGACGTCGCTACTTCCGAAGGTAACTCCGCTAACGTCACCGCTTACGATGGTGTGTCCACCGACATCGCCGCTTGCGATAGTATGCCCCTTGACGTCGCCGCTTGCGATAGCATGCCCCTTGACGTCGCCGCTTGCGATGGTGTGCCCGCTGACGTCGCAACTAACGATGGGGTGTCCGCCGACGTCACCGCTTACGATGGTGTGCCTGCCAACGTCGCCGTTTGTGATGGTATATCCGCCAACGTAATCGCTTACGACGATGTCCCCGCGGACGTCATCACTGTGCACAACGACGTCACCGTTTGCGATAGTGTGCAGGTCCGACGTCGCCGCTTACGATGGTTTGGCAACCGTCTATCTATATTACTATTCCTGAAGACAACTTTGCCCTACTCTGCCCAACGTAGCTTCCGCAAAAAAATAAGCCGTTGTTTCACTGAAAAAGGGGTAAACTATAAAGGCACAATCTGTTCGTTCTGATCCCCCGTATCCGAAGAATAAACGCAAGGGACCATATATTGCCTTTTATTCTCACATATGCTATTTTATAAGCACATTTTACAAATAATAAATTCAATATGCCCTAACAATTTTCAGTATAATACCTCTGGTAACAAAACCCTAAACAAGGCTGATTATACCACATTAACCTCAAAATAACCACATAATTAGGAAATTTGAACGATTTAAATATTTATAAAAGAGTGAACACAGAAACAGCTAGTAAGAAAACTATAAAATGTCACAGAGTCTTCAGTACTAGTATTACTACTACTACTACTACTATTAATGATAATGGTAATAATAGTAATGATAATAATGATCAAAATATTTAGTAGTAATAATAACGATAATGATATAATAATAACAATTATAATAATAATGATAATAATGATGATATTTATAATACTAATAATAATGATAATAATAATGGTAATAACAGTACTAATAGAAATGATAATGATGATGATAATGATAATAATAATAATAATGATAATGATACTGATAATGATGATAATAAAAATAATAATAATAACAATACTGATAATAATAACGATAATATATATAATAATAATAATAACAATAATAATGATAATGATAATGATAATAATAATGATAATAATAATAATAATAATAATTATAATAATAATAATGATAATGATAATAGTAATATCAATAATAATAACAGTAACAGTAATAGTAATGACAATGATAATAATGATGATACCAACAATGATAATGATAAAGATAATAATAATAATAATGATGATAATAATAATAATTTAATAATGATGATAATGATAATAATAATAATGACAGTTATGATTATGATAACAATAATAATAATAATTATTATTATTATTATTATTATCATTATTGTTATTATAATAATAGTAATAATAATAATAATAATAATAATAATAATAATAATAATAATAATAATAATAATATGATAATGACAATATGATGATGATAAGGATAATGATAATAATGATAATGATAATAATGATAACAGCAATAACAATAATCATGAAATAACCATCAAAATTCCTCACCTCTAAGGAACAGCGTAATATTCGACGTGCCAAAGAAGTGCGTGTAGTTGGAGTATAGGGCGCACTGACCACGAGGCGTCGCGGGGTGGGTGAAGGCAGGGCATCCTCGTCGAGTACACAGCATCCCACACATCGCTGGCGTGACGTCCTGTGCATAGGTTGATGTGTTTGGTGGTAATGGAGGGAGGAGGAAAAGGAGGAGGAAAGTGGTTAAGTGTTCTGTGTTTGATTTCGTTTCGATCTTGGTTTGTTTGGTTTCTTTGGGTTGGGGAGTTATATATGGTATAGTGTGAATGATA